GCGTATTGGCAATACCAGAAGCTGATATAAATTGCTGATGCTAGCGAGGATGCTGGCCCTCGACACTGCAACATAAATCAAATTCAGCGCATGGCAACTAACCACAATTGACATTAGCCCGACGTGACGGCTGTTTCAAAGCAGTACATAAGTAATGTTTATAAAATTGGGTAGGCAGCACTGCAACCACTATAGACGTGTCAAGAAGATTGGCGTCTATTTGAAAAGTAGTTGCGAGTTCAGGCGTAGCTCTGTGGTAAAATGCTTCATTTCCACGCAGAAAGCTTGGGCTCAATTGCAGCTGGGACCCTGACATTTATTCTTTGCATTCATCGGGTTGACATTACCAATGTCGGGTATTTCTTCACCCTCGCACTTTAAAATTGTCCACGTGTATTCCGTCGTTCCTGGGTAGATACTAAGTGTCAATCACCTGTGGCACATACCCGCATACCAGCGGCACATACCCGCCCGTGGGTATGTGTCACTGTCTGGCGGGACGTGTTTGACGACGTACGCGACGGGATTGTGACATTATTCATGTGTTGACCAGCTCGTCATATTCGTCAAACCATCTTACCTTCCCATGCTAATTTTGGTTCATGACAAGTTAAGGGGGTGACCACGAGAGCCCCCAAGCGTAAGCGTCTAGATAGATAGATCAATAGATAGGTACGTTCAAAGTTGCCGAAGCTCGCCTAGAAATGCTTCGCATTTAATAAATGCCAGGGTCTTAACAAGAATCGACCCTCAGCATTCTGCGTAGCAATCAAGTGGTCTACGGAGCCACGCCGGGTCTCGGAACTACCTTTCAAGTGGACCCCAATGTTTGTGAAACGTCAATTGTGTTTGCACTGCTGGCTATCCAACTTCATAAACATTGCATATGTTCTGTTAGGATACAGCCGTCACGCGGTGTCAATTTAAGTTAAGTGTATGTCATCCTCTGCACCGTCGGCTACCATATCGGCTTGCCGCTTCTAGTGTTGGTAATATGCATCTTGCTAGCTTGTAGCAATGTTATGAAAGTGTAAAAAACTGGTTATATAACGGGTATGTGGCAGTTTATTGTATGATGTCTGTGCGTGGAATTGTAGGTATCTTTAGCGCCATGTCGTGACGTTTCGCTCGAAAAAAACTTACAAGACATTCACTTTCCATGGTCATGCTGCGCATAATGTTGATTCTGAAGTCATGTGGAATGTGCCGAGTTATTATTATTACATTATTATTATTATCATCATCATCATCATCATCATCATTATTATATTATTATTATTAATATTATTATCATTATTATTATTATTATTATTATTATATTATTATTATTATTATTATTATTATTATTATTATTATTATTATTATTATTATTATTATTATTATTATTATTATTCGAAATAACTCCGAGGTCAGTAAGGTGGTGCTTCCAGTCAGGCAGTTATTCAAACCAGCATTGGCCTCCAAGACAATCGCGAAATCAGAACCCTTAGCATGCAAGCAGCCACACTGCAGGCCGTCTCACCGAACTGCTCCTCATGCCGAGAAAACTGATTGCGTATATCGAAGCGCAATCGTGTTGACCGTGCCCAGCGGGCTCCATCGCGTCTGCCCATCTCGCAGACGTCACTTGCGACAGGCTGTTTGTCGCCCTTTTCGCTTGCTTCTTGTCCAAGAAGCAAGAGCACTCACCTGTCGCGTCCTCCCAGTTTGGCGCATGTCGCGGGTTGAATATGGATCTGGGTCAATCGCCAAAGAATTTCATTCGTGTGTTTAGATTTAGGAGCACGTTAAATAACCGGGGCCGAAATAATGGCCATCATATTGGCGTGTACAGTATACCGTCAATTTAGTGTCGCCCAGCTGACTTGAAATGAAAGCTTCCCGATGCACACGTGGATTTGCCGTGGTATTTTCTGACGTCGTCGAAAAGGAAAATTAACCTCGTTACGAAAATTTTCACGGTGCATGATTGGAGCACTAGTGCTCGCGATTTCTCTTCTATACATAACCATGACTGAATCACAAAGGTTGGACGACGTTGCATCAACCAAATGAATCGTGATTCGTTGGCCGCATGCACAAGAGCATGCAGGAAACACCCTATGACACAAAGGCGGCGAAGCCCAAACCGCACGGTGTCACCAGGCAAGTTTTCGGTCCCATCACGACTCTTCCGTGGTGGCAGCAACCATGGGTTCCCTTTTTGCATTGTGCACTCATATTTTCTAAAACAGCACCCTGGGCAAGAAAGTAAATTGGCATTGCCGTTCCGCCACACGCTGATACGGACACATGTGGAGCGTACGTTGTTCGTCTTTATCGGTGTACAAGCAAACCTAGCCGTGAACGCGACTGACATAAAACTGAAGAGTCACTGAAGCATTTTATGGGCGAAGCTCCTTATGGCGTGGCTTGTGCGTCTCTCGTAGTACGTAACCACCAGTGGCACATACCCGAAATAGCGGTCCTTACGATTTTAACCTCCAAGGTGGTTCCAGTGAGAGATTTCTTCTGTGCGTTGTTGAACAATAAAAGATAGTGCTCAATGCACATGATAATGGCTGCTAAGGGGGAATGAGAGACAGGAGCATTCGGCCTTTAGGTAACGCGCACGCTGCGATCCCCATTAGCAGCTATTAGCATGTACATTGAGCGCGATCTGACAAGAAAGGGTTGCTACGTTATACTCGCTGGGTGTAACCTTCTTGGTTTTAGAAAGGTTTAGCGAGCGTTGGGCCGCATAGCCATGAATACAGTGAACTAGTATATACCATGAACTCGAGGTGGTTAAAGGTGGGAAGTAAACCCGAAGCGCAAGCCGTAAGAAAGTGTGCATGTGCCACCTCCCGTTTAGTCCTTGAAATGTCCGCTGGATGGCGGTGCTTCTATATGGAGAATATATGATGAAAAGATGCGAGATGGTGGTACTTGGAGTGGTGGTACTTGGAGTGCAGGTGGTACTTGGAGTGCGTACGGTTACACGGACGTACGCAGGAACGGACGGAAGCAAGAACGAATGGACGGACGAATGCTTCGCCCCACTCCCCATCATTCACTCCGTGGATAGGCCGCAATTTCTTTTATCTTGCATTTTCGTTTTCTTTTTTGACCTATTTGGAGACGCTTTTACAGCTTCCGTTTTAAAGAGACCGAGTGAGCAAACAAAACCAGATTCATGTGAGCAGCGCGTTGACTCCTGGGATGCCATCGATACGCATGAACCCGTAACAAAGCACTGCCGAGGCCTTTGCAGTTCCGTGCAAGAACATCAAGAAACAGCCCAACACGAACTCGTCATGCAGGTGTTTCAAAGTAAAACCAAGTTGGCGTCCAGATCACTGATTGTGGGTTTTTTCGTACATTGCTGCGACAGCGCGTTAAAATTGATTTGAAGTACGCTAGGCTACGTTAGCAGTTGGTGTTTTGTTGACGATGCGTGTATGTTCATACAGATCTATCCTAATTTCAAAGTTCTGTGTGATTACTCGTTCGAGCTATGAATCTAAAGGGTTTCTTCTTCCGAATATATGGCTCAGATAGACACGTTAGGCTGAGATGGAACTTGGTGGCTCAATGGCCACCGCCCCGTAAAAAATACGCGGATGGGGTCGAAAAGAAAGCAACAAGATGGCCTCTTGCGTCAATAGACGCCACGCAAGACACCACCTCGTGAATGGCGAGCCGCGTTTGTCGAAGCCAAGCGGGCTAACTTTCCGCGCACGACGGATGCGCTGGCGACGAGAAGATCCATCCGAAACAACCCCCTCATGAATGCAGTATCGCACGAAACAGCTTTTTATGAATACAAGCGGCCGCGACGATAAGGGTCATTATACATTCGCAGCGGCCGTCTTTTCATTCTGCGACAACAGCGCAAGGTCGCACACGATCTCGCCAAGCGCGCCCACCATTAAAAAAAAAAAATTTCCCGCGCCTACTTTGCCGTTCCCATAAGCCTGAGACACCCTGGAGCCAGGCCGGAGGCTTCTCACAGTCCTCCCTCACCGCGGATATTTTTTTTACTCGCACGCGCGCATTGTCTTTGCGGCGATGCAATCACGACTCATTACTGGTACGACCACCTTCGAACACAAGAGAGTTGCAGCCACTCACAACGAAGCTGGCCGTCGTTGGACAACGCCTCTCTCTCGCCAAGTTCGCGAACAAACCACGTCCGCTCACAAGCTCCTCGAGATTTTGGGTTAAGTTTGAGGGTGAGGGATTGGTGCATGTAGAAAACGTCCTACATGGTAGAGAGACAATAGCCGCTGCACGAGACGTCTGTTGCTCAGAAAAGGGTGCATCGGCGGGAAAAAGAAGGGTGGGACGAAATAAAATAATAATACACAACGACGAGCATGAAATCCTCTGGGAATCAACACCTCTTTTTCCCACCCCCGGCGCACCATGCCACGCACGAGGAGGAGAGGCTGTGTACGCGCGTGTTGTGGCCAGTCAGCCGGCGCGCGCACGCACGCACGCACGCACGCACTGGCTGGCAGCCCTTCCCTGTGCGCTGCCGCCGCTGGGGTCCTGGGAACGTCGCGAATCCAGAGACCAATCTCTCCCCTCGCTCGCTGCTGGCTTCAGTAGCAGCGAGCGTAGCCAAACCCGCCGGCTGGCGAGTCTCCCACGGAGGCCCTCCACTCTCGCATGGAGGAAAGAAAACGAGGAGGATGCCGATCTGAACAGCGGCCATACTCCCTCTAAAAGAAAAAAAAAAAGCGCGTCGTCTGCTCCATGCGGGCAACGGACGAGAATTACGAATAGTCGCTGTAACAATGCGGTGGATGAACGCGTGTATACGATACTTTTTAGTGATGCTAGAATTCCTTGGAATTCCTTGCGTAAAGCTTGGCTGCCAAGCTTTAAAGTAAAGAAATAACAACGCGCGAGCGAGTGGAGAAAGGAGGTTGCGGAAACGCAGCAGAGAAAGAGAGAGATAGTGGCGCGGGGAGTGCGGCGGCGTGTCGGGAACGGCAGTGCCAGCCATTGTTTCCCACGATGTTTGCTGAGAATCTGCGGATTCCCACGGTGACTCGTGGCGGCCCGATCACCGCCGTCGCCAGTCGTCAGTGCAGTGAGTGCACCGCGGTGGTCGTCGACACGCTGGGCCGCTCGTCGCCAGTCGCCGCCGAGCTGTCTTCGCCGATGGTGGTGTGTTCGACCGAGTGGTGTGGGGCCTCCCCGATCAGCAGCCGCCGCGTTCGTTGCACGAGCCCGTCGCCACTGGACCACGTCAGGTAGGCGACTACGCTGCGATGCGACTCCCCGTCAGTCCGACACCACATTCGTTCGGCGCGCGTCACCGGCGGTAGCATCGGGCGCGTGTTTCGTGGTGCGTGTGTGTGTTGTGCTCGAGTGACGCCATGAGTGACGTGTATTTGACCGAGGAACAGTACGCGGGCTACCACCCGTCGCACGGCAACTACTCGTCTCCGCACGACGACGGGCCCTACGTAGGTGCGGGCATGGCGGGCTACAGCGACTACGGCCGCGGCAACGAGCTGCTCATGGAGCTGGGAGGCGGTCAGCCCGTCGACATGTCGAGCCCGCCGGCGCGCTACTACAAGGGCGGCGGCGGGGGCCTTTCGGACCAGGAACCGAGCGCACTGCTCGGCTCGGTCGCTAAGGGTCCCGGTCCCCCGGCCGCGCCCCAAGGCTCCCCCCACCTGGGGCTGCAGGCGCCCAGGGCGCAGCTGCCCCCGAGTCCCGTGGCGAGTCCCGTGGCCGTCGCCGCGACGGTGGCTGGCGGCGAGAGCCGTCTGTCGCGCGACGCCATGGATCGCTACCTGCGCGAGCGCGGCGACATGGTGCTGGTCATCCTGCACGCCAAGGTCGCCCAGAAGTCGTACGGAAACGAGAAGCGGTTCTTCTGCCCGCCTCCGTGCGTCTACCTGCTGGGCGATGGCTGGCAGCGCAAGCGGGACCAGCTGCTCCGCGCGGGCGAGAGCGAGCAGGGTGCCCAGCTGTGCGCCTTCATCGGCATCGGCAACTCGGACCAGGACATGCAGCAGCTGGACTTCGGAGGCAAGAACTACTGCGCCGCCAAGACGCTGTTCATCAGCGACTCGGACAAGCGCAAGCACTTCATGCTCTCTGTCAAGCTGTTCCACGGCAACGGCGAGGACGTGGGCGTGTTTCAGAGCAAGCGCATCAAGGTCATCTCAAAGCCGAGCAAGAAGAAGCAGTCGCTGAAGAACGCCGACCTGTGCATCGCCTCAGGCACACGGGTGGCGCTCTTCAACCGGCTGCGCTCGCAGACGGTGAGCACGCGCTACCTGCACGTCGACGGCGGCAACTTCCACGCCAGCTCAAGCCAGTGGGGCGCATTCACCATCCACCTACTGGACGACAACGAGTCCGAGGCCGAAGAGTTCACGGTGCGCGACGGCTACATCCATTATGGCTCCACCGTTAAGCTGGTGTGCTCGGTGACTGGTATGGCGCTGCCGCGGCTCGTGATCCGCAAGGTGGACAAGCAGAACGCCTTCCTTGACGCTGACGACCCGGTGTCGCAGCTGCACAAGTGTGCATTCTACATGAAGGACACCGAGCGCATGTACCTCTGCCTGTCGCAAGAGAAGATCATCCAGTTCCAGGCGACCCCGTGTGCCAAGGACGTCAACAAGGAGATGATCAACGACGGCGCTTCGTGGACCATCATCAGCACGGACAAGGCCGAGTACACGTTCTGCGAGGGTGCCGGACCCGTGCGCGGACCCGTGACGCCCGTGCCAGTGGTCAACAGCCTCCACCTGAATGGCGGCGGGGACGTGGCCATGCTCGAGATCACAGGAGAGAACTTCGCAGCCAACCTGCGCGTCTGGTTTGGCAACGTCGAGGCCGAGACAATGTACCGGTGCGCCGAGTGCCTGCTCTGCGTGGTGCCTGACATCTCGGCCTTCCGTGAGGGCTGGCAGTGGGTGCGACAGCCGACCCAGGTGCCCGTCTCCCTGGTGCGTTCTGACGGCGTCATCTATGCCACGGGACTCACCTTCACCTACACGCCCGAGCCCGGACCGCGCCACTCGGGACCCAGCCCTTATCCGGCCCTGGTGCACGAGATACTGAGGCCTGCTAATGCACGCACCCACCCGCCAGCGCCCGAAGACCACGGTATTACGGCGCAGAGCTACGGACATGCCATGGGCCTCTACCCGCCGCACCACCAGAGCATGTCCTGAAGGGCACTCTCCCCACCCTTAACTTATTCGTTTATGCCTCGTTACGCGGTGACAGGATGTGCGCGGGTCAGAGAGGCAACCTGTCGTATCTTTTTTCATGGGACGCATCGTGAACATTGGCGCCATCAGTGAAACGAGAGAACTACAGTGGTGTTTGTTTTTGATGACCCCTTTGAGAGATCATCTTATCACTTGGTCGATGCCGCTGTTTTCCTGTACATGAATCTCTGTGCCGATGTTCGCTTTACGAGGGCCATCCTTTCATTACATGTTAAGAATTCACAGAAAGACAAACGAAAGAGTGCTTTTGGGCCTGTCATGTTATGTAAAGATACAAGTGTTAGCTTACAATTCCCTAAAGTTTTTTTAGCCTTGGACACATTTTATGCGCATTTATTGAAGAATATTTCTGCCATTTTGATCATTGATCGGCACTCATCAGTGTCTTTGTCAGCTGCAGATTTGTTTATTGCAAACATGAAAAACTTATGCAGCCCTGTCAAGCCATGCACGAAGGAAACAGTTTGCTCAGGACAATGTTTAACCTTTTGAATAATTTTATGTGTCGTTTGACTTATTACAAAAAATTCCACGGTTGCTTATACAAACCTGTATGGGGAAATAAGATGTACAGGCTTGGATAATTTTGTATTTGTAGTTCCTTAAAACGTGTCTGTGAAATAACATTCATTTTTTTGTGTATATCATGGAAGGGGCTGTGAGGGAGCAATAATTAGGAGGTTTTATTGAAGTACTTTTAAATATATGTGCAAAACTCAAAAATTACTGGGACGATGATTGCTTCGTAAAGACTCTCCTTGGAATGCCATTGGAAGGAACATTCTTTTATTGAATAGAATAGCAAGCTCACATTGAACTAGTAAGTTTTCTGCAATAAAATTCACAGTGCCTCTCAGGTGCACAGGCATGCCTGTTCCCATTCTAAATACTTGCTGCTAAGATTCAAAGAATGCCATCGTGCTGTGTCGAAATTTCTGGGCTAGAAATGCTGGGTGCCACAGGATACACTCGATTGTGACAAAGATTTTGTAACCTCCTATGAAACCGAAAAGCAGGCGAATGGGAGCTCTTCAGTTTGTAGTATTGTGAGTGATTATTTTGACACAGGCATTCTTGAAGGTGCACTTAATTACACCTGTTTACTGGCTTTCTAATTCAGAATGGTACGGAATCTGATTTCAGTATGTCTATTTGGTGCCCAGAATGCTTACATTAAGTCTTAGTTTGAACCAAGAAACAGTAAGATCAATGAATATGTTGATTTATAAGAAATTCAGGGCAAGTATACTGCTGTCCATACCATATTTGCAAACACGTAGTGGCAAAAGAAACTTCTTTCATCTCCTGAGAGTCCCTCACAACTTGTAGCAGCTGTTCAGTGGTATTTCTAGAACTGCTTCGAGCTCTTTCAGCTCGGAGTTTCTTCACAGGTTAACTCATTTTCTTTTTGCTCATCTGCTGCAGCATTTAACCAATGACAGAAAAATGTGTTATTAAAATGAGCTGCTAGAATATTTGTGCTGCTCCTTTCTTTTATTCCTTTTCCAACTTTCTACTGTGAATCGATCCCATATACTTAGGTTTAGTTGGCATTGAACAACAGCATAATCTAATTTTTGATTTTTTTCTTTATTTTTTTCCCGAGAATGGCAAGCTAGAACTGGCGCAGCTGCAGGGGAAGCTTGTGTTGGCCAAAAGGATCAAGTGGCCGTTAAAATCAAACCTCGCAGCAAACTTCTCAGATGCTCGGCCCATTGTCTCCTTTAATGCATGTCAGTACTGCACCTGTACTTGTAGTGTCCCACACAGGTGTAATGTGGCCTTATTAATTGCAATAGTGCAATGCTGGAAGTGGTGTACAGTTGTACTGAAAGAGGAGGGAAAATGCATTGATGTGGCCAAGCAAATTGCTGATCGTCAATCAGCACAGCAGTTAAAAACAAGGAAACATACACAACAAAAGTACTTGGCAGTTGTTGGTCTAAAGCAAAGATGTGGCATATCCACCTTACCACCCCAATGGAAAAGACTGGATTGTAGAAACGTGCATAGGTGCATATACATTGGCGACATATTTGCATTGAAGAAACAGGTGTTTACAGTGCTTACATTGTGTCTTCATGTCCTTGTCTAGTTACACTTGTTGACAATGAGCATTTTTGAACTTGGCTATTTTTTCATGTGCATTTTTTCATGTGCTATTTGAAAGCAGGAGCTGTGCATTGCATTTGATTTGCACCGATGCTTTATGAAGAGGAAGATTTGCAAAAGAATTATATAGTTCCCACAAACTTGAGCTTTGATGCACTCAATGAGACAAAGAGGAGCTTTTTATGGCTGCTTTTCTCTTCATGTGACATATTAATAAAGGTATGAGTAGCTTTGGCAAAAAACTCTCCTTAATGCAAGGTAACAGCACTGCACCAATAAGAAATTCCCATTCCATTTAGATAAGCCGACATTTTCATGAAGAGTGTCCGTGCACTACAGGAATTGGGGCTGTGCATCGCAAGCACGTAAGCTTGGGCAGAGAAATCAAGCATGCAATATAACTGTACCAGCTTTCTTCAGTGTCAGTGGTGTACATTGATGTGCAGGTGAGAACAAGAAGTGCTCTGGCAGGTTTATTGTCAAACGAGCACAGAATAATTCCCTATGCATTAATAAATTTGGCCTATAGGGTGAATACACAAAGGGGACCAGAAATTTTATCGTTTGGCTTTTTCATATGCAGGAGCTCTTCTAGTAAAATTGTCCGACATGTTTGCATTTATTTTAAGGCTTCGTTGCTGTGAAGTCAGTGTCATTATATGCACTGTCTGCTTGAACATTTCAAAATTTCTCAACGGCTTCACGCTCTACCTACGGAGGCTCAACAGCAGTAGAACTCGCATTATTGCCACAGTTTCTACTTTCTGTTTGTTGAAACAACAAGATTTTTATCAAATTAGTTGCACTTTCTTTTGGAGGCAGGAATCAAAGACAGGAATATGGAATGATGAATACAAAACCCTGTTTTATGCATGCAGATCAAGTGCAATCTCCCACCTTGAATAGGGAGCATTGCAAAGTGAGGGAGCATGCTATGAGTGCATTTTACAAATACACCTGCTCTGCGAGTGTTCAAGAGGAGCTACTCACTTCACGCCAACACAAGAGATGTGTGTGTATGCTAGCATCTTAATGGTAGGTCAGGGGAAGGACATAAAGAGGCCAAAGTATTGACATCGATGGGACATAATTTAGGTGCATAAAAGCTTTTTGCTGTTGTTTTGAGACTGCAGTTTCATAAACCCTGTTGCAATTTTATAGCGAGCGGAGCGTCGTGGGATAGCTGAACCTGTTCTGTGGGTAACTTATAAAAAACTTGCAAGGTATTTATCTGAATTCTTGGCACAGAAACAGTAGGTATGCTATTTTCTTTTTAACTAAATAATTGTGTTGTGGCAGGTTTTGTATGACACTTAGTTTTAGTAGTGGCTCCTCGGAATTTACAGGCTGTGGCATTGCTGATTCACCCCAACTTCGACTGTCTGTCATGGTTCATGTTCATTGTTTGCTGTACGCACTTTGCCCTGTTATATTGCAGTGCCCTCTGAATGAAAAAGCGTTGAACTAAGGTTAACACTACATGATGCAAAAGAGGTGTCTACTTAGAAAGCAAGTGGCTTATATCTTATTTTGTTTTTGTGTTTTATTTCAGGCTCGTAGTAACCATTTCAACTCCTTTGGGATGTTTCCTTTTCTCTGCTTTTTTGTACGCTGAGGTTGAGCAATGAGAACGTTGCTTTGCTTGTTTTAACACTTGGTTTGTTCAGCAGTGCGGCGGTATCACTTGCAAGAATAAAAGAATTCGGCACTAAGATGAACCACTGGGTTTTGCTGCAAATTTCATGAAGGTTGTAGCAGTTCAATTCTAGTGTAGTCTTCACCTTTCTGTGCTGACAATATTGGTAGGCATAAATGATGTGGTGACTGTACACCACATGTCAGTTCTCGTGCGTACTGTTTGCAATATAGCTTGTCTCTTTCATAATGCACATGGAGTGACAGAATGTTTCGAATGCAAGTGTTTGAAGATGCTAATGAGATCTTGTTTGCTGAAAGTTGTACATCAAAATGTTTTTATTTCATGCAATCCATGGCACACATTGCTGTATTCTACCAGTATTTTGAGGCACTTTGACTGTTGTGCTGTGTATGAAAAATTGCACTTTGAACTACTGTGCTACAACAAAACAGGGCTAGTGTACAGGAGTTGGGTGTCAGGAACGAAGTGAGCTAAGCTTATGTGCCTTGTTACGACCGGCCCTAGGGAACCAAGCAGGAAGAATTTGGGGGAGAACCGGTTCTTGACCGATGGTGTCGTCCACCCCCACCTCCCCATTCAGGCTCCTCCTCTCGCCGGGAGAACTCCGGAATCTGCTGTGCGTTCGTGACCATGTTTGGCAACATTTTAGGGCGCCGTGACCATATATGGACATCGTGTTAGGTTGTGCCACTCCATGTGTTGCGAGAGGTGTTTCCCCCTCCCTCGTGGCCGAGGTGCCGGGGACACCGTATTGGCTGACGATGCGGACAAGGCGCCCAGTGTCAACAACGTGGCGCTATAAAATGCCGAAGACGTTTTGTATCACTCTCACTCTTCTCTCTTTGGATCAGTTGATCACTTCTTCACATGTAAATAAATCTCTGTCGTTTGTTCGGGCGCTTCTTTCTCGCTGAATTGTTGGACGATGGACCCTGCGACGGGGCCAGCTACCGAAAACGAGACCGGCAGGACCCGGAGTCCCAACAACTGGTGGCAGCGGTGGGATCTGAACCCACGCCCCCGAAGACGAGACCGGCAGGACCCGGAGTCCCAACAACTCAGCGAGAAAGAAGCGCCCGAACAAACGACAGAGATTTATTTACATGTGAAGAAGTGATCAACTGATCCAAAGAGAGAAGAGTGAGAGTGATACAAAACGTCTTCGGCATTTTATAGCGCCACGTTGTTGACACTGGGCGCCTTGTCCGCATCGTCAGCCAATACGATGTCCCCGGCACCTCGGCCACGAGGGAGGGGGAAACACCTCTCACAACACATGGAGTGGCACAACCTAACACGATGTCCATATATGGTCACGGCGCCCTAAAATGTTGCCAAACATGGTCACGAACGCACAGCAGATTCCGGAGTTCTCCCGGCGAGAGGAGGAGCCTGAATGGGGAGGTGGGGGTGGACGACACCATCGGTCAAGAACCGGTTCTCCCCCAAACTCTTCCTGCTTGGTTCCCTAGGGCCGGTCGTAACAGCCTGAATTAGTATGTAAACGACCCCTTGCCAAGGGAATTTTACTCCTTTTTAATAGTAATCATCATTTTTTATATGAGCACAGCCCAACAGATGTAGTGCTTTGTTAAGTATATGTTTTTCATATGAAGGAGCTGTGACAGCTGTATGCGTCCCAAGGCACTAAAATTTGGACAGGGCGTAACAGAATATTGCTGCAGGTGTGCACTGCCATAAGTTTGCCAGCCTTCTCTCTGCACGAATCGTTCATTTCAAAGTGTTTGGCAGAGCACTAAAATCAGCGAAGATTCGGGTGCGAGCGTGTGAATGAAATTATTTAGAAAAAAATATAAACCCTTTTAATTTTATAGACCTGATCTGAAAAAGCTCAGTGAGCATTATACTGGCCTCAATGTACAATTATTTGAAAAGAAATGATGCTTGTGATTGTAAATGAGCAAGTGGTGTGACAAGCTTTAATTGGGGTACTGATTTTATTTTAGCCATATCATTTATACCTTTCCTTTATTTCTGCAGAGTGCAGCTGTAGATGAGGTGATATGTGGGAAAATGTTAATGTGGAAAATTGTTATGCATTGGGAAGAGAGGAAAAGGTTTGGGCGAAAACCTGTTCCTCGGGAAGGGGATGCAAGTGTCTCTGAAAATCTGTGCAAATATTTTTGCGGTGCTTTGAAAGGTATTAAATATATGTACAACATTGTACTTACGTTGAGTCTGCAAATGCGCATTGCGATGCTGTTTACATTGTAGCGGTGGGGCGCATCTTATCGGTAGGCCCAATCGGTTGTGTTCTATACGATTCTTTGCAGAATGAGATTGGGGGTGTGAACATGTGAGCCTGTATCGCTGAGGGAAGTAACATTCCACTGTATTTTCTTCACTATTGCTTGTGTGTTTGCATTTGTATAAATCCTTCCATTGCGAGCCTGCAAACATCTGTGTGGAGAGGGAATACTACAAAAGCAGGCACAACAGACAGTTGATTGTACATTATCGTTTTATGGTGACATTGCTGTAATTTTCACATTATCTTTGTGCTTGTGAAATGGAACAGATGGAGACAAATATATATGTATATATATATACTACAGAGACTTATACACGTATTTGCTCTGCCTGCGGTGGCGAGAGTCTCCAGTTTTATTCTGCACAATCACGTGCACTATTTTCATGTATTTCTGGCGACGCTTCGCTACGGCGCAGGTGCTCTTCGTGCTGTTGCAGAAAACGTGGGCTCCGAGGTTGTGTGAGCGAACCATTGAGCCGGCAATGTGCCTCAAAGGTTTACGTTTATATACAGTGGGTATTCGCGTAATGCTTCTTTTTTTTCTAACGCGTTGAGGTGGGCTATTGTGTTCACACACGCATCAGACATTCTATGAAAAGTATATGAGGCTTGAAAAAAAGCGAGTATAGTCTTGCCGAAGGAGTCAGGCCGCACAACGAGAACATCCACGTGGAATTGTTGAGAGAGCAAATCTTTGGGCATGTTGGTGTTGGTTTATAATACTGGCAGCTGCGCGACAAGGAACAGGATGAAACGCAGACGAGTGCTCAACATACAACTGTATTTTGTTTCCGGAATGAAGCAGAATATGAAGAAAAAACTACTATTGAACAGAAGTTTGCACATCAATATTTGCGAAAAACCTAACAGAGGAATCAGCCTACATCGCTTACGCCGGTGATGCGCCCTGCACGAAAGTGCACTGTTGATCTCGCACGTTGATTGTTGAAGTCGCACATGCGCAGGTATGGCCTGTCTATATATTTTTAAAATCCCTAACAATAACAAAATACATAGGAGTGCGAAAGGCAGAAACGTCCTGCTTCACGTCAAGCGGACTAATTACGATGAAACTACGCGTGTAAAGCAGCAATCTGACGAGTGCATGGCAGCCACAACGCGAAGAACAATGTTCCTAAATGCCTCTTATTTATAAAAAAGAAGAGCTCTGGAGGAACCTGGCATGAGGAATCGCCTTTCAGATGCGGTCTTCATGAAGGTTACGACAGTTCTTGCCCAAGTGGGAATCACCGCTGCAAGGTTGCGAGGGAGAACAGACGAAGAAGCGGTTATGCCGGCTTGCGAGGACGCCGCAATGGAACAGGTGGATGTGAGGACGTAAACAGCGCTTACATTGTCAATAGGTGGCGACCGAAACGGCGCGTCGTCTGCTACGGTACCTCCGGTTCGATGTGCCTGCTGTGCAATGTAATCGGGGTGGAAACACGTGTGACGCTGTTGCTGCGGCTTGTTCAATTCCTTTTGTGATGGGATAGATCATATTTCGCGCATTTCAGGGAACGAAGCGAGACGTGGACATGGGCGAGAATGAGGAATGTTGAGAGATGGGTTTCGAGCACAGCGTGCAGCTTTGTTACACACAGTAATCTTTCGCAGAATCACCTCGATTTTGTATTTTCGAGTGCATACAGTTACCAAGACCACTTCAAAATCACTCACCCATATGTGCGCATGCTGTCATATGTCTCTACACGTACGATGTCTACATATGTACGCGTACTTTGCGCGATCAAGTATGCCGATATGGTATATTTCTATTGTACATTTTACATCGGTAACTGTCTGTCTAACTGATTGCAGCAGAAGAGTGCGTAAAAAAACCCACAGAACAATACGGCCACTCAAATAATGGTATCGTACGTCGTAAAACGATCGAAGCCGCTTTTGAAGCAGCGAGTAGCAATATATGGCGTGCCTGTTATGTCAGACATGCAAGTGTGCAGTGCCGATAGGTCATGTTATACTCCGACTGATAGCCTTAAAGGCTATCATGCACAACTGTACGCTGAGTGCAGATAATTTTGCATGCATTGAAAAAGCTTGTTCGAGCGTGTGGTAGCCCATACCTCATTTAAATAGATTTTTAAAGGCGTAAAAAAAGGAAGCTCGAGAGCTACGAGCACGTTTTTTTTTATAGTGTTCAAAACTACTACTACGGTCATTGCCTATATCGAGGCCCGAATAGTACCTTTGTAACCAAAAAGTAAATAAATCATTTTACGGGTACGTGAGCAACTTGAGAAAAAGTGAACGGACATGTCCTGATTCCATGATGTGCAGGAAATCTTTGTATGTGACAAAACATGCGTGATATAATCTTCGCTGCAAAACAACCAGCATGTGTACGGAGATGCAAGCCACTTCAATGAAAAAATGACCGCTCACACTATTAAAACTATCTCGTAGTGATTCCATTTGTTATTCAATCACGCTGCATAGCACTCCAAAGTATATTAAATGTGAAGAAAGAAAAGTGGGTGAAAAGATAACTTGCCGTGAGCAAAAACCGGCAACTTATCTTGAACCGGCAAGTTATCTTTTCACGCACTTTTCTTTCTTCGCTTTACAATACAATAGGATTTAAAAACTTCCCCTATACATTTATTGGCATTATTGTCAAAGAGTGGAGCTCACGGGAATACACCAAATCATGAAGTACAAGGTGATATGGGATGGACATCATTTGAGGGCAGGGAAGCTAGCAGCAAGATAAAATTTGAGAAGCGATTGAAAAAATTGGGGAGGAGTGTTGGGCTAGGAAGATA